ATGTTGAATTAGACCTAAGATATTCAAATTATATTTAATAAACATCGTGCATCAAAATAAACAGATAATTTTGCATTCGAGCTTGTTGTCTTGTAAAAAATGCATTCGTTTATTTTCATATGGGAAGGAAAAAGCCCTCCTCCTTCGGAGTCGGGCGTTTTCGCCACAATATGAAAAGAAACTCATGCAGCTTTTAGACAACAAGCTTTCATGCAAAATTATCGGTAATTTTGAAGCACTTGTGCAATTACCCCCGAAAATTTGGCTTAGATTTAAAATTCTCCCATTAAAGTTAAAATTAAGTTTGGTATGTTTTTCGAATCAAAGTTACTGACCTGCATTGCCATGTGGTGGCCATGGCTTGGTCCATGGAAGAAGGGGCTGTAGGGTGAGAAAACCTGCGATTCGTGCAGGCCTGGATTGGGGATCGCCACCGACGTAGGAAGGGAGACTGGTAACATCGGTGGCGGCTGGTGATATGGGGGAGGCCGTGGAGAGGGGCATGTAGGGGCGCTGCCGCCACTTTGATCCATGGAGGCGGGGGACATCCCCATGCCCCCGTCTTGTCCCAGGATTCGGCTCACGGTGCGTGGCGTGATCCGGGTGTCCGTCACCTTGAAGGGCAGAAAATCCTGAATTATTTATTAAAACTGTTTTCACTGGGGCCCTTTTCAATATGCACGTTCGCTTTAAGGTTGGCGGCAATTCTGTGACGCTGAAGCCTTGAGTACCGCCAACCTCAAAGCGGGTGCTCAGAAGAAGCAAAGACTCTTACCTTATGGCGTTTCTTCTTCGGTGCCACCACCAAGCTAAGCGCCTCGTTCTGTTCGGGAGTATCCTGTTTCTGTACACAAAACGGATGGTTCATGCCATAAAGAGGCGCCTGACTAATGCCGTGGGGCGGCTTTGGGGGCTGAAACATTGGAGGTCGAATATGATGATCTGACGATTTGGGCATCGAACTGTGCATACTATGAACGGGCATTAAATGGGGGCCCGCATTTCCATTTACCATGTGATTTTGGTTGGGGGGCGGCGGCGCTTGCGACCGCTCCGCCACTTTCGTCCGCGGCGATTTCCTGTCCAGCAGCTGGGACGCCATCAGCAGGTCTTTGTTGAGCTGCTCGGCCGCGTTGGCCGCGTCCTGCTGCTTGCACCGTTTCTGGTGCACGAACCTCGAGAGGATCGAGTCGATTAAGTTGGATAGCGAGGCGGAGATTTCCGTTTTGAGCACATCGGCCAGCCCTTCGAGGTCGCTCCCTGTGGGCGTCGTAATGTTTCGCATCAGCTGCAGCCGTTCGGAGACATGCTCCGACTTGGGCGTGCTCTGCTGCATGGGCTGCGGCTGTTGCGCCTGCTGCTGCACCTCGTTGCTCATCGCCGCAGCGGCCGCCTCTTTGGCCATCCGGGCTTCCTGCTCCATCAGCAGCTTGTGGCCCAAGTACATGGCGGCTGCGTTGTTCATGTGATGGGGCGCGTGCAGCAGGCCGTTGTGGAACGGCCCGTGGGGGCCTGGCGGTCCCAGCTTCATCTTGCTTACCTCTTGCACTAGAGAGGGTGTCACTTGAGTGGGGGTTGGAGGGGACGTGGTGGTCACAGGGGAGGCCGCAGGCGATCGCTTGGGGCTGTGCTCACTGTCACTGGGGATCTCCTCGATCTCCTGGCTCTCCTCCGAGCCTTGCTCCACTCTGGTGCACAACTGCATGTACTTCTGCTGCATCTCAGCCAGCTGCTCCTGCATGGTTCTCAGCTGCGACTTGAGCAGGTTTTTCTCCACCCGCTTTTGCTTGATGGGTTCGGTTTCCTCCTCCTCGTCGTCGATATATCGGTCGGCGTTGCTGTCGTGCTGTTGCGGTTGGTAGAGTTTTCGCTTCTTGCAGCCGTTCACCTGCGGGGGGGCCGGACTGGACCTCATGCCCGACACGATGTTCTCCACTCGCGCCTTCTTGGCATCCTCCGGCTTCNGGCCGGCTCCACTTTGGGCGAGGGCAGCGAGTTGGTTTCCATTCCATTAATCGCGTCCTCCATCAGCTCGGCTTGCTGCCGATTGTCCACTCCAGCTTCAGCTAGACACTCCTTCATAGCGACAGCGGCGTCCGCAGCTTCATTCCGCTCGGGACTAACCTTTGGATCGTTGTTGTTGTTGTTAATGATGTGGTCCTGGGCGTTGCGCATGTCGTGCTCAAGGGCGAGCAGCTCGTGCTTGCGCCCCTGCAGGATGTCTCGCAGCATGTGATGCGCGAGAGCCTCCCCCGAAGGAGGACTGCCGTCACACCGAATCACCGAGTCCTCACTTTCGCCTCCGCTCTCCGACTTTTGGCGGGCCAGAAGCTCGTTCAGCATTTTTGCGGGTGCAAACCCCGGTCCGAAGAGACCGAACTGTTGGTGTTGGGTGAAAATGGCGCCGTATAAATTTCCACTGCTACCAAGAAAATTCGGACGCGAACTGAAGTTCGGGATCGAAGAGTACGAGTTACGCGGCTCGCCGGCGTCCACGCGTTGTCTGGTTCTTTTAGTTTTCTTCAAGAGCTTATCTGTGTACAAGCCAAACTCTGTCTCCTCCTCCGATGACATCATAGGTTGGGGCGTTATTGGTCGTCCAGGTGCCCCCTCCAGAAAGCCGAGTCCCCACTTTAAGAATACTTGCCCATGTCAATACCTGAAACGGAACAAAAGCGTCTCGTCACGGCTTCTGGCGAAAGGCGAGAGCTCGTTTTTGCGTTTTTCGATCACCTGCCTTTGCCGTCGACACAACTGTTGATGCTGCTCGAGCGCACACATGCGATGCGGCTCGCGCCAGCCCCACAACGTGTCCAAAGCGTCGGCTAATGATCCACGTTTGGACGCATTTTATGCTGGTAAATACCTTCTAATCCCCTTTACTTTTCCCAAAACTACCACTTCTTAATGCACTCGTCTGCCCTGCACAGGAGACCTGCGGATGCGACAGGACGTCGTATCCGCAAAAACAAAGTTTTCAGACATTAACCAATTTGTAAATTATAAATTAAAATCAAATCCTGGGTTCTTCAGTCATTTATTGTCTATTTATCAATTAATTGGCATGTATTTTTGCCAAGGCCAAAATACATGCCAAGGCGTAAAGTATCAACAACGCTACACATTGAAACTGATGATGGTGGAAAACACCGAAACGTTTTTTTAATTGATAAATAGACAATAAATGACTGAAGAACCCAGGATTTGATTTTAATTTGGAATTGAAACACAGTCAGGAAAGTACGTACAATGGAAAATTTGTAAATTATGACATGCCATCTTCGCTTATTTGCAAAACCGTTCTTTTCTAAGATCTCAATGTGGACTTCACGTTAATAAACATCCACAAGAAATCTTGTAGCTTGTAAATTTCGGGATTTGATATAAAAATTGACTTTTGTTAGATACGACTTGTTGTTTTAGTATTCTCATACTATTAAGGTATACACATACTAAGTAATTTTGCAGTATAGTACTCACAGTTTAGCAAATAACATAAAGTTGAGTTCAATCAATGGTCCACTAAATTTGGTTTCATAAAAAATGACTCGAGCCCCTTTTAAATTGAACTTAAACTGAATAACTTAAATAATCCGCAAGTATTTGGCACACGAAAATAATATTAGATTTTGATAAAATTCGAATTATTTAAAAAACCTTGCGATTTAGACATTATAAATATTATTAAAACAAACACTTATTTTGCTCAGAGAATCCAAAAATGCAATAATATATAGGGTATTTCATTTAGAAAAACACAACTTTGATACTTTATATATATATTTTATTTGTAAATATCTTCTTTTTGACTTTAACTTC